TCTTGAGATCCAAGAATATTTAGGAAAAAATGTGTGAAGAAAATTTGTATATTTCATGGAGGTATACAACTTTCATGTTGGTAACTTTCTTTGAATCATCTTGTATCATGGTGGAAAATTGGCCTAAAGTTGAGAAAAAATAAGAAATTTTCCATACTTAGAAAAATTTCTAAGCTAAGAAAAATTCAAATTTCAAAACCAAATCTTCAATCTTTGATTCCTTGATGAACAAGTTTCATATTTTGACATGTTTTGATGAATTGTGATTCTTGGCACTTGAATTTGACCAAAAAGTCAAAGTTTGACTTTTCAGTATATAGTTGACTTTTGATCAGTTGACTGCAAATTTCATCTATCAATCCAATGAAAAGGCAATGTTTTGAACCATGTCATTAGGTAAAGATGATGCAATTGAGCTCTTGGAATCATGCTTTAAACCAACTAGTCACTTGTTAGGTTAAAAATCAGAAATTTCCCTTTCTCAGTCAAAACCCTAATTTTGACCATTTTGCCCTTTTGATGATTTGATCAAATAATACATATGAGTCTAGAATGTTAATGTGGATTAAAAATTATGAAGTTTGACTGTAAATTGACCATGGTTGACTTTTTCCCCAATACAGCTGATTTTTAGGTCAACTGTCCAATTGATTGATAAAAAATGTGATTCAAAGCTTGAAACTTGTCATGAGTAATCTTAGGGGTCCATAATGATGTTTGAAAGTCATATGAATAATTGATAGCCCAAAAATCCTTGTACAATCTCAAATCCTAATTTTGGGTGATTTGTGCCTGATGGGATGTCTTGAGCTGATTAAATCCTAATTCAGTCTTGAGTCAAAGAGATCTTGTGAGAAAAGTATTGATAAATGAGAGGGAAAATTTTAGGGTACAACAATGTCCCTCGGTGAGGTTAGATGTCTTTGAGGGAGAATAATCAGGTGCTTGTGATGTTCGCTTCTTTAAGAGTGGAAAGTGATGTTGGGGGTACTGATATGGCTGTGGTATTGTCCTGAAGATATTTGTGAATTGCCGCCTGAGCGAGAAGTTGAGTTTGCCAAATATTTAGTACATGGTAGTAGTCCTGCATCGGTGACACCTTACAAAATATCCGCTTCGGAGCTGAGTGAGCTGAAGAAACAGTTAGAGGATCTGCTTGAGAAAAAGTTTATCAGGCCTAATACTTTACCGTTGGGAGCACCAATGTTGTTATTTAAGAATAAAGACGGTAGCATGAGGTTGTGTATTGATTATCGATAGCTGAATAACGTTACTAACAAGATAAATCCTCTTCATAGAATTGATAACCTTATGGATCAATTGGTAGGTCCTTCCGTGTTCAATAAGAATGATTTGAGAGCGGATTATCATCATATTCGAGTAAAGTCAAAAGATATACTAAAGACTGCGTCTATGACTCATTATGGTCATTACGAGTATTCAGTTATGTCTTTCAGTGTATCTAATGTACTGGGAGTATTCATGGATGAAAGTGAGAAAAATACACAAGAAGGGGGGATTGAATTGTGTATGTGGATTTTGTTTGGCTTATGAAGATTAAGGTGAGCAAGCCTGTGAGGTTGATGATTGACAACAAATCAACTATAAGTCTTGCCAAGAATCCAATGTTGTATGAAATGAGCAAAGACATTGAGAAGAAGTATCATTTTCTGAGGAATCAAGTTCAAAATGGAGTGCTAGAAATTGTGGATTGTAACACTCAAAAGCAACTTACAGATGTTCTGACTAAAGCTATAAAGACTGAACACTTTATCCATTTGAGAGATGAAATTGGTGTTATAGATTTTACTTAGCTGAATACTAATTAAGTGATGATGTTAGATACAATTCATTTTAGTATTTAACACTTTTAGCTTTGCCTATGTGGCATGTTTCATTGAATTATTTAAACAACTCTTGTAACTGAATTTCACAAGAAGTATCATAACTGAATTTTTCCACTTTGAGAATTTGTTATGTTTTTCTCTTTTCTTCTATCCTCATATTCATCTTAAACCTTATGCTCCAACAAGTACTACCTAATATCATTATTATTTTTAGGGTTAAATATGTTTTTAGTCCTTATAAAATTATCAAGTTTTATTTTTCCTATGAAAAATGGCATATTTTAGTCCATACAAAATTATTATACACGTAGTTTTAGTTATTACTGTTAAACTGGTGCATATTTTTGAATAATTTTTCGCAGACATGTTTAGAACGCTATGAAAAGCTCCTAAAAGAAAAAAAAACTCAAAATTTGATTTCTAAATCGAAATTTCATTATTTTTATCATTATTTTTAAAAATTTTAAAAATTCATATTTAATTCTTCTCATTTAAAAAACTCTAAAATTTAGCAAAAAATTATTTTATAGCATTCAAAACACGTATGAAAAAAATTATTAAAAAATTAAAAAATTTAAGAGTAATTAAACAGTTTTCAAAATTTTAGAAAATAACAGAGACTAAGTCTATATGTATCAAAATTTTAGAAAATAACAGAGACTAAGTCTATATGTATCAAAATTTTGTAAAGACTTAAAAATATTTTTTTTTATAAAAACTAAAACTAAAATTAAAAATATTTATAAAAATCAAAAATATATTTAACCCTTATTTTTAAAACAAAAGCAATCCAACTATTTTTCTACCTAATCAACATTAACAACAAATTCTCATAAATAAATTATTATATTACTCAATATAAACAAGCATGCACTTAAAAGTACAAATTAACATTTATATGAATAATTAGCCAATTTCTTCGAGTAACATACAAATTCAATATGAATTTTCTTATTTTTGGCATTGCGAGTATATACCCCCTCATTGACTTCCTATATGAACGTATGCCATGCCCTCATTGTTTGCAGTTGATAACTCATTTTGTTGTTTATTCAATTCAATTCAACTTCTGCCTCATTCTTATTCCTATTTGCATCACTTTCATAAAAATATGAATCAATTATCTGTCCCCCAAAAAATATATTCTCATAAACTACAACAAAACTTTTATATATACCTTCATCAACACCGTCATTATCACTTCAATCATTATCTTCATAATCATCCATTTTTCTATTACTTACTTGTCCTTCTTGCCTTTTACATTATATTATACAATATAAACAATTGACTATAGTTTGTTCCTCACACAATTATATGAAAAACTTATGAACCTTGTTTAATTAACTACTAATATTAAATATATTAATATTTTTGCTAGGGAATCAAATTTGGGATTGCATTGCCACCACCCTATCATGTCTCTTGGGATTTTTGTTCTTTTCCTGTGCAGTTATCATTGTAGGGACCCATGAAATAGACCCAATAATTTGCTTCACATGCATGGATATTATTTTAAACATAACATACCATCACTATCTCCAAAAAACAAAGATTAAAATTATTTTAAGCTTAGGAATATAAAGCTTGCAAAGATTAAATAATTGAGAAGACTAATTGAGAATATATGTATGCACATGGATAATCAAGGAGCAAAAAGATTGAAGATGATGGTTTGTTCTTATTCATGAATTAGCAAATCCTAATATTTTTGCTAATTATAATAGGGACGTTTCTGATTAAATATATGACTTATGCTATGCTTTTTTCCCTAGCTATTTGTAATAGTAACTAGTTTTGTAACTAGTTTTTTTTGTTTGGTAATTAGATAAATGTGGTATGATGAAAGCAAAATTGAATCACCATATAGTTTAGAAATCCTAGTTCAACGACATAAATTAATATTGTTAGGGTGAACATCACCAACAAAATTTTTTTAACTCCATATTATATCTACAGTTGTTTGTGTAAGTTTCTTAAAAACCTCAGATACATATATTAGACATGACACGATACTAACACAGACACAAATATATATATATTTTTTTAGAGATATCACTGATACAGAAACACGTTGGTAACAAAAATAAACGTAGTTGACTTGACTCCATTGTTTTTCGGGGTCATTCATGTCATGTCTCTTTATCTATCTTGCAACTTTCCCTTTCAGCAGCATGAGTACTTGTAAGGGACCCGTTAACTGATGCAACGTTGAAGGCTTTTATAGAGGTATAGTCCCACACTATAAGCCCATTCATACATAACCCTTTTGTTTTTATTTGAATTGGTACAATTGTACAATATGATTACATTAAAAAATTACTCATTTTAATACCCCTCATCATGTTTCCACTATGCCAACCCTTATGTGGAGATAGTAAAATATTTTCATAACAAAATTGAAACAGAAATTTTTTGTTTTAGGAGTCTGTGTCCGTACAAGAACTTTAATCAAGCAAATATATGAATGAGTTTTTTGTGTGGCCTTTATTGAATTGAAGTGATTTTCATACCTATATAGTCGGTGGTTGTTTAAAGTGTGTTCTGATGACTATTTCAAAAAAACATGTAAATCAAAGAAGAAAAGTGATGTATATATTTGTATGCATACATTCTTGACTTCAATCACTGATCTCATGTTTTTTTCAAAAAAGTGTAACCAATCTCTATCTTTGCAAGACAGTGACAGACACTATTTTAAGAAACATATGTACATGGTCCCTGCTGCACTTTTGATACCGAGAGAAAGAAAAAACTCAATGGATTCTAAATTTCAACCCTTAATAAGATAAATATACAAACTTTATATACACAAAATCACTTGATAGATAATTCACAATTCACATCCATAATAATAACTTGGAACAAGCCTTATTCTAAAGTATTGCCTCTATGCTTGAGGTGAAAAAATGATTTCGGATAAGGTGAAATTGATCAATATCAATTATTGTAATGTAGCATAATAATGCTGAATTTTTTTTTTGTGGTATGAAACACATATACAATATGGAAGTTTTATCAAAAGGGAAATTTACAGCACACACACCTGTGGTCAGAAATATAAGAAACTTCTGACCTATATAGTTCATTCATATAGAAAATTATATATATTTATATATATATATTCAAATCACGATCTTTGTCTCTCTCAGGCTACATAGTTTGTCCAAAAGCCACTGAAAATCTCTGCAGATCCTTGCTATATATATCAGAAAGTTGAAAACCTGGTTGTTGTTGTTGTTGTTGTTGTTGTTGTTGTTGTTGGCATTGGTTCCAAGTAGTACATGATTCATCAGTAATGTAATTACCTGTTTCTGGTTTGGCCTCAGTGTAGATAGATTGAGGAGGTTGATTATGCATGAGAAATGGTGTGTTGATATATTCAGACCATTTCATTTCTTCTTGTAAGGGTAAAGTTCCTGTGTCGAGAAAGTTGGCGCTGGAAACGGTTTTGCTTGTGTTGTAGTTACTTGCTTCCCAGTTATGAACTCCGTCTGAGGAAACGGAAACGGTTGGTTTTACTTGTGTTGGTGTTTGGAAAATTGAGGTTGAAATAGAATGAAGCATGTTGGAGTTTATAACAGAATTTGTATCTGACATCATTTGTGATGAAGATGAGGTTGGTGTGAAACAAATAGACGCATTTGGATTCTCGGAAATTCCGATGTTTGATCCATAGTTGATGTTCTGAAAAGAAAAATAGCCTGTGGTGTTGAACCTGTCTAGGAATAATTCATGGCTGCTGCTGCTGCTACCATTGTTGTTGATCTTGGAGGAAGTTGAAACTTCTAGAGGGTAACCATCTATGGAAGCTTTTGTAGGTTCCATTACCAAACTCATAACTTCATTCGACGAAACCGAAGCTTTTTGATTGCTTTTGTTTGCTGTGAGTGGTTTCTCATTATCATTTTCAATCTCAGAAAGTGGTTTATGAGTGTTTGGATCAATGCCACTTTGTCTCAACCTTTTCTTGAGACATGAATTCCATAGATTCTTAATCTCATTATCAGTTCTTCCTGGTAATTGTGCTGCAATCTGAGACCATCTGATATGATATAAACAGCAACAATTCAAACACATAAAAAAACTATATCATAAAAAAATAAAGTTAGTAATACTATAGTTTCTACAATAACCTGTTTCCAAGAACTGCATGAAGCTCAATGATCAAATTCTCTTCTTGTTGTGAGAATGCTCCTCTCTTCAAATCAGGCCTCAAGTAGTTTATCCATCTTAACCTGCAACTCTTGCCACATCTCTGCAAACCTATTCATTGTGCATGCTCAAAATATATATATCAAATGAAAATGCATGAATCAAGTATGAAAATAACACTATATATATAGATATATGTGTATGTATATACCAGCAAGTTTTGGGACGGAACTCCAACATCCATGACCATGTTTGGTAATGTAATTCAAAAGCTTCTCATCTTCTTCTGGAGACCATAGTCCTTTCCTTAACTTCTGCTTGTAGCAGCAAGAGTGTCTTCCCATGATTAAGTTTAAGTAAAATCTTATCTTGAAACACCCACAAAACTTGTTTGCTTTGGAAGAAACTCTTTTTTAAAGCTGTAAAGTTTTTTCTGTCCAAACAAAACCTACGTGGAAACTAGAGAGGAAAGTTTGGTGGGGTGAGGAGAAAGTGTTGAGAGAGAAGCTCTTAGAGAAAGCAAGTTGAAAAAAATAAAATGGCACCTTGATAGGGAATCAAATAAATAGGAAGAGTCTTAGAGGAGAGAAAGTTGTACTCAATAGGTTATTGGACAGTTCCATCTTTATTTATATATTTATATATATACTTTACTCCCTTCTTCACATGACAAATAATTAACTAGTTAAATGGGAGCCACCAATCATTATCAATGGTGTTGATCTACCTATTCCTACATGCTAATCCAAGGGTTGCATATAGGAGAGTAGTAGAACTACACTACAACATAACGTTATTTATCTAGTTTGACTTTTATGTGTGTAATATTGTAATCTAATTGTAAATATACTATTAGTTATGAGTAGTGATGATCATTATTATATACCAAATATTGTTAAGCAAAAGCTACAAATCTAGCTAGCAAAAGTTCTCACTTTTAACCTACCTTGGTTGTTATGTGCCATGCTGCTTAGAGTTGTGATTCTTCTATTGTGCATTTCAAAGTTATAATATGTGACGAGATGTCTCCATTCCCACATGATATAATAGAAAATATGTTCTATCTATGGAATTTGAAGGGGTGAGTTTTCTAGTCTAAACCTAATCTAACAATAGTAATATGAATTAATATAAATTAACAAAAACTTATGAGTTAGGAAAAATTCTCTTATGGAGAAGTAAATCCTAAGAGTAGCAATTATGCAAAACATAGTATACTGCATTAAATTGATGATAACAGAAACCTTAATTCTCTAGGTTCTTTTGTTCCCTTTGGTGATAATACTCAAACTTTTGAAAACTCTATCACCCTTTCCTTTTCTTGAATAACTTTCTATTTATTTTGGCTTTATTGAGATCATTTTTTTTTTGTGGAACAAATAATGCAAAAATTGTTTTTGATACATGAGAAGGTTAAAGTCATATTTCTTGGCTTAGAAAGTGCTTCAAGTTCGACTAACTATGTGAATGGTTCATTTTTTTGCAATTTGAAAAATACTTTATCTTTTGAATTAAATGTGATTTTCTTCAATGTCAATTTTCTGACTTCATACGACTTCTTTGTGATTGTGTGGAAAATACTAATGAAAATTGTGGGTTTTTTTTAGGTAGGGTACTAAAACTAAAGTTAATAATAGAAATAAATATCTGTACTTTCATATACAAATGAGACAATCACAAATAATGTATTTGTCCCTTGTTTATTTTTTGTAGCCTGCATTTCTGCCTCACAAATGTTCACGAAAACATGACAATTTTGGATGATTGAATGCTACAAACTTTAGCCATAGTCACACTTTTAAAGAATCTCCACCTTTGAGTAGTTAGAGATTCTTCTAACCACATAAGATTCTATCCTCGTGTTTTAGGAGTGAGAATATGCGAGATCTATTAACAGAAGTCTATGATTTAAAAAGAGTTTATAATATATTATAGGTCAGACTCAAACCAATAAATATATATTTTTTAAAATTTGGCCAGACCTGACATATTTTCACCCAAATTACTATTAAAAGAGTTTAAATCTAATATTCGGAATGAAGAAAAATATGGTATATATTATCGCAAGAGAATGTTGTATGTGTCACTTCAAAAACACAATAGAATGGCAGACCAATTGGTAATCATACATCTACCTAGGTTGTAGCTGTTGCATAGACATACAAAAGATCTAAAATTACCACTATAGGTCAAAGTTAAAATGTGTTGTGTTTTGAAAGATATTGGTTGTGGTTTTGCTATGTATCATTTTCCACTCTAGTCACATTTGACAAAACAAATAAATAAAACTAAACTTTTTTGTGTGTAGAAATTAAATTCAATATAAAACTTTATAGATATTAAATACATATTTTAGCTTTGAAAATATAGTAGAGAAGACAATTTAATTTGATAAGATCGAATTTAAATGATCACCATGTTAGCTAGCTATGGTATTATCATCATGAATGGAGGATTCCCTAAAATGTAAAAGGGAGAAAAGGATTATTTATTGTATGCATAAACTACAATTCTTTAAACTTGGGTCTTCCTTCTCTTTAGTTGGTTGGATGGTCACTTGAATCCAAAAAGTAACACAAAAAGAAAACCACAGTTATATCACTATATCAGGAACTGGCTAGTAATTAGCATGCATGTTTGGGGATGGTAGGATTATTCAATAGGAAATTATTAAAGGTTTATTATGCCTATTGATCATTTAAAAGTGTGCTTGGCAAAAACAATAAGTTAATTTTTAACTTATAGTAAGATAAAAAAAATCTGTTTAATAAGTGTCATTTTCTCACAAGCTTATAACTATTTTTCTTAGTTTATAACATTTTTTCTCTATAAACTACTTCAAATAGTTCTTATTCTCCCTTAGTTAATATGTGTTGAATCATGCAAGTGAAATGGGCTTAGAATGCAACAATCAACAAATGGAAATGAAGACTATGAAGATGAGTTAGTTATCAACCAATAACTAACTTCAATTCAATTTAAAAGTTGGTTATGAAAGCTGTTAAGACCGTTATACTTGCTACCTCAGAAATAATAGTACGTAGATAGCACACAATAACTTGTCATAAAAGTTATACAATATGTATATATACAACTTATGTATCAAGTTACAAATTAATGAGAATTCACTATTTCCATGTTCATTTTGATTCTCTCAATATAGTATTAGTAGAATCAATGAACTTCTTCATCTTCTCATTCTTTCTTCTTCGTTGATCATGTCCATCTTCTATTTGTTTTTCATCACTTTGTTTTGGTTTATTGCAGTGAATTCTTTCTCTTTCATTCATAATCAATCTTTCTTTTTATCATTTTTTCTTTCATCGATCCAAATATGCCTCTGCGTGTTGCGCCACCAAATCAAATTGATCTTCCAATTAACTTAATGTCACTCTCATTCTTGATGGATCAAACTACCTTGCTTGGCACACATCAATGAAGCGTGCTCTTGGAGAAAAGAATATCTTGAAATTTGTCGATGGATCAATTCAAATTCCTCCTACTAATGATCTCAACTTTGCTCAATGGGAAAGATGCAATCATCTTATTCACTCTTGGATAATCAATTTGGTTAGTGATCAAATTGTTTCCACCATAGTCTTTCATGAAAATGCAATGGATGTTTGGGATGATTTACGTGAAAGATTTTCAAAAACTGATCGTATTAGAATAGCTACACTTAGATCTTCTATTAACAATCTGAAACTAAATTCAAAATTGGTCATGGAGTACTTTCTTTAATTGAAAGTATTATGGAAATAACTTAATTATCCTCATCCTTTACGTATATGATATCGTAGATGTAGTTGTGATGATATTTAAAATGCTCAAGAATATCGAGTTGAAGATTAAGCTATTCAGTTTTTTACATGTCTGAATGATACATTTTCTGTTGTGAAAACTCAGGTCTTACTCATGGACCTTTTACCATCAATCAATTGAATTTACTCTTTTGTGATCCAAGAAGAAAGTAACCACAATAATCTAGCACCCGTTGAGGACAATTCAATATTGATTAATGTAACACATAGACCTGACTTCAAGCATAAAAGTGGTTTTAACAATGGCAAGACATCTACTAGAGTATGCACACCTTTTGCAATAAGATTGGTCATACTATTGATTTTTGCTATTAAAAGCATGGTCATCCTAACTTCAACAAGAATAAATATTTTGTCAATGCTAGTTAGGTTGATGCACATATCTCATCTCAAGCTTCAAATGAGGCTCATGTTGCTTCTTCTTCAAGCAATCATGTACCACTTTCTCAAGCTCAGTATGACCAGCTCATTATCTTGCTTCAACAATCAAATTTAGTCTCCTCAGTCCCATCACCTATCACTAATTAGGTTTCATCAAGTCATTCACATGTTGATCCAGTTTCAAGTATCATGTGTAACATAGTTTTCAATCTTACTAAATCTTCTTGTTTATAGATTTTAGATTCAGGTGCAAATGGCCATATATGCTCTTCCTTAAAGTTGTTTAGTTCATACTATAGGATTAAGCCTACTACAATTAGTCTTCCAAATGGAATTTGTGTCATGGTTTAATATGCAGGAAATATCATATTTCACTACTACAAAAAGTATCTTTCGTAATGTAATTTCATCTGGGCCAAAGTATTAACTGTGGTATAATCTATTCAATTAGGCGCATTCCTTTTATTTTTATTTTAAGCCACTTTTCTCATGGTTCGAACTTCCAATCGTGGTGAAAAGTGGCGCTTGGTCATGAATTCGAATCCTAGCACATATAGTTTTAATTATTATTTATTTATAAGCCACTTTTTATCACAGTTGGAACTTCCAACAATGGCGAAAAGTGGCGCATGGTCATGTGTCTGAATCCTAGCACCTATAATTTTGTTTTTTATTTATTTTAAGTCACTTTTTATCAACTTTGGAACTTTCAACCATAGTGAAAAGTCACTAAAGATCATGGATTCGAATCCTAGCACATACAATTTTTTTAAGCTACTTTTCACAATTGTTGGAATTTCACCCATGGTAAAAAGTCACTCAATTTTGTTTTTCTTATATATATAATGCTCTTTGTTGCTCTTTGTTCATTCTTTTTTCCCTAGACAAAGTTAGAAAAACTTATATGAACTTCATATTCTACCTTTGAACGTCATCTTCCATTTATGAGACTATATTTCTCCACTAAACCAAGTTCGAAAACATCATTTCTTCCATTAAAAAACTCGAAAACATCATTTCTTTCATTAACAAATTTCATAACTTCATCATCTCTTCTCCAACATGAATGAGACAAGGAAAACATAGATTCAAGTTAGCAATGTTAGTTGTTGTTGTGTCATGTAAAATATTTAATGTTGTTG